GGCAAGGATAAGAAAATGGGTGGAAGGTAGGGCTGGGGTAGGAGTGGGGGTGCATGGGGGTGGGGGAGTGGGATGGGGTGGGAATGTGAGTGTGTAGGGTGGAGCTGGGTGAGAGTGGGCGTGAGGGGATGTGGGGGTTGTGTGTCGGTTGGGCGTGGGGGCATGTGTAGTGCTGGGGTGGGGGTGAGTATGGGGTTGATGTGGGAGGGCTGTGTTGGGCTGGAGTGGGTGTGGGGGTGCTGGGGTGGGGTGCTGTGTGGGGGGCGTGGGTGGAGCTGGAGTGGGGGGTCTGTGTGGGGCTGCAGTGGGTGTGGGGGGATAGGGTGGGGCTTTGTGGGGCTGAGGTGGAGGGCTGTGGGGGGTTGGGGTGGGTGTGGGGGGACTGGGGTGGGGCATGAGTAGGGCTCTGTGGGGGGCTATGTGGGGCTGGCTTGATGGCACTCACCTTCAGCATCAGGAGCTGGAGCATCCTCCTGGCGCCCGAGGGCAGACAGGCCCCTTCGCCCTGTAAGTCCCATGCTACGGCGGGCGAGGCTGGCTGTGTCCGCCCCCGCCAGGCCCCCGCCACGTCTGCGTTCTTTCCCTCTGCGTTTAGTGCCTCGGGCCCCCAAGGTAGGTGCCCTGCATTCCTCGCCCCCAGGTGCCCTCGCGGACCCCGGGGTCCTCGCCTGCCTGAGGCAACACGCTCCATCCTGGCATCGACACAGCCCCTCGCTCACAGCTTCCCGCCCGCCTGGCCTCGGGACTACCGCACGGACGGAATGCCGGCGCACGCTGAGCAGGCCACGAGGCGTCGGAGACCACGTGGGCCGCCCAACGGCGTAACAACGCTCGGCACAGCGCCACGTGGCGGCTGGGAGGACTGGCACTGGGAGGTTCTGAGAGGCCCGACCCGGAGGTCACGTGATTTGTTCCTTTGCAGCCAGCCGGCCACCCAGGCCCCAGGGACACTCGCTTGTCCTCCGGAGGGACGGAGGGGCTGCCTGCGGTTGAGTCCGTTGAAAACCACCTTTGCAAAATTCCAACTGAGGACATTGTGATGGTGAAAGAAATCAGACCTAACCAACTCCATCTTGCTTCTAACCTTTTTTGAGACGGAATTTCGCTCTTGTTGCCCAGGCTGGAGTGCAATGGCGAGATCTCCGCTCACCGCAACCTCTGCCTCCCAGGTTCAAGCAATTCTCCTGCCTCAGCCTCCCGAGTAGCTGGGACTACAGGCATGTGCCACCACACCCAGTTAATTTTGTGTTTTTAGTAGAGACGGGGTTTCTCCATGTTGGTCAGGCTAGTCTCCAACCCCCGACCTCGGGTGATCCACCAGCCTCAGCCTCCCAAAGTGCTGGGATTACAGGCGTGAGCCACCGCACCTGGCCTGCTTCTAACCTTTAAGATGTCCTTTTTTATTCCTGGGCGGAGGTCCAACTAACTTTGGGAAGGAATGCAGTCCACGATTTGACTCTGAAACAAAATTGATAACAACCTGTGAACCCCAAAGTTTTGAGACAGGTCTCAGTTCATTTAGAAAGTTTATTTTGCCGGGAAGGCGAGGTGGCTCAGCCTGTAATCCCCAGCACTTTGGGAGGCCGAGGCGGGCGGATCACGAGGTCAAGATATCGAGACTGTCCAGGCCAACATAGTGAAACCCTGTCTATACTAAAATACAAAAATTAGCCAGGCATGGTGATGGGCACCTGTAGTCCCAGCTATTCAGGAGGCTGAGGCAGGAGAATTGCTTGACATGGAGGTTGCAGTGAGCTGCACCATGGCACTCCAGCATGGCACCTGGCAAAAGAGCAAGACTCCATCTGAAAAACAAAAACAAAAAAAGTCTGTCTGTCGAATGCATGGAGAGATTTGAGTAATAGTAATTTTAAAAACTCCAGTCTCCCACACAGCCAGTTCTGCATGAATTACTTTCTCCATTGCAATTCCCTACCTTGATAAATTGGCTCTGTCTAGGCAGCAGGCAAGGTAAACCCATTAGGTGGTTACAAGTTCGTCATTTTATTTTTAAAGAGACAGGGTCTGGCTCTGTTGCCCAGGCTGGAGTGCAGTGGCACAATCATGGCTCACTGCAGCCTCAAACTCTTGGGCTCAGTTGATCCTCCTCAGCTTCAGCCTCTCAAATAGCTGGGACTACAGGCATGCACCACCACGCCTGGATAATTTTAAAATTTTTTGTAGAGATGGGGGGGCGGTCTCGCTGTGTGGCCCAGGCTGGTCTTGAACTCCTGGGCTCAAGCCATCCTCCTGCCTCAGCCCCCTGAGTAGCTGAGATTACAGGGATGAACCAGCATGCCAGGCCCTCAGCTTGTCCTTGTCACCTGGCAGGGGTCCCCTGTCCTCCTGCTTTCTCTAGGCCAGTCTATACCACTTTTTTTTTTTTTTTTGAGACAGAGTTTTGCTCTTGTCGGCCCAGGCTAGAGTGCAATGGTGTGATCTCGGCTCACCACAACCTCTGCCTCCTGGGTTCAAGTGATTCTCCTACCTCAGCCTCCCAAGTAGCTGGGATTACAGGCATGTGCCACCACACCCAGATAATTTTTTTATTTGTAGTAAAAACAGGGTTTCATCATGTTGGTCAGGCTGGTCTCAAACTTCTGACCTCATGATTCACCCGTCTCAGCCTTCTAAAGTGCTGGGATTACAGGCGTGAGCCACCGTGCCTGGCCCACCCTATATCTTTTAACCACTATGAGCTGAAAGACTTGGTGGTGAGGAAGAATCCTGGTCAGCCACGAATCCCTGGATCTTCATGGCCTCCTGGCAATATTTGCATTTGATCTGCACCTTCTGGAAAGGTTCCTGGTCCTGGCTTTCTTCCCAGCTGGCCTTCAACTAGCAGAGCTCTCTGAATCTAAATGAGTTCATTTGCTAGTAAGGGAACCAACAAGATGACAAAAGACTGCAAGAGTTTGGAGAGAGCATGGAAATTGTGGAGTTACGTATTTTGGGGAACAGAATGCTCACATAAGCATGCAGTTCTATAAGTAAACTAGATTGCATAATATCTCAGGTAGGATGGTTGGAGAGGCGTGTAGCTGCCATTTGGAAGAAAAATTCACCTGTTCCTTAAATTAGGCTGACAAGGCCTCACCTCCAATCAAGGCACCTGGTACAGCCAACTCACCTGAAATCTCTAGACCTCGCCAAAAAGAGATGGAAAACAACAGGATCTGATTTAAACAGGAGGTACTGGCTGAGCAAGGTGGCTCATGTCTGTAATCCCAGCACTTTGGGAGGCCAAGGTGGGCAGACCACTTTAGGTCAGGAGTTCCAGACCAGCTTGGCAACATGGTGAAACCGTTTCTACTAAAAATACAAAAATTAGCCAGGCATGGTGATGCGCACCTGTAATCCCAGCTATTCAGGAGACCGAGGCAGAAGAATCACTTGAACCAAGGAGGCAGAGTTTGCAGTGAGCTGATATCACACCACTACACTCCAGCCTGGACAACAGCGTGAGACTATCTCAAAACACACACACACACCACAACACATGAGGGAAACAAGTGGTGTGAAAACTGCGTTTTCTGTGAAGGAAAACCAATCATATTACTTTATCATGACATCTTCTAATATCACCCACTGAGCCATAGCAAGTCCAGTGAAGACAGAGTTGGCACTAACCAGCTGCATGTCTGTTTTCTCACTGAAAAAATCATGGTGTTCACTGAGGTCCCTTCCAGCTGCAACATTCTAGTAATCTTTGAGAGTCAAAAAATAAAGCTAGGCTGGGCATGGTGGCTCATGCCTATAATCCCAGGCACTTCCGAAGGCTGAAGTGGGCAGATCACCTGAGGTCAAGAGTTCGAGGGCCGGGCGCGGTGGCTCATGCCTGTAATCCCAGCACTTTGGGAGGCCGAGGTGGGTGGATCACGAGGTCCAGAGATCGAGACCATCCTGGTCAACATGGTGAAACCCCGTCTCTACTAAAAATACAAAAAATTAGCTGGACATGGTGGCGCATGCCTGTAGTCTCAGCTACTCAGGAGGCTGAGGCAGGAGAATTGCCTGAACCCAGGAAGCAGAGGTTGCGGTGAGGCGAGATCGCGCCATTGCACTCCAGCCTGGGTAACAAAAGCGAAACTCCATCTCAAAAAAAAAAAAAAAAGAGTTCAAGACCAGCCTGGCCAACATGGTGAAACTGTCTCTACTAAAAATACAAAAATTAGCCAGGCATGGTGACCTACGCCTGTAATCCCAGCTACTTGGAAGGTTGAAGCACAAGAACTGCTTGAACCCAGGAGGCAGAGGTTGCAGTGAGATGAAATAGCATCACTGCACTCCAGCCTGGGCAGCAGAGTGAGACCCTATCTCAAAAAAAAAAAAAAAAAGTCCAAAGGACAATAATTTTATACTTTTTTTTTTGAGACTGTTTTGCTCGTCACCCAGACTGGAGTGCAATCTCAGCTCTCTGCAACCGCCGCCTCTCATGTTCAAGCGATTCTCCCGCCTCAGCCTCCCAAGTAGCTGAGACCACCATGCCTGGCTTTTTTTGTATTATTAGTAGAGATGGGATTTCACCATGCTGGCCAGGCTGGTCTTGAACTCCTGACCTCAGATGATCTGCCTGCCTCTGCCTCCCAAAGCCCTGGAATTACAGGCGTGAGCCATTATGCCCAGCCAACTTTGTTTTTTGTTGTTGTTTTTTTTTAATGGAACATAATTTCCCATTTTTGTACATTCAAAAAGCAGAATAATAGTATCTGTGGTTCTCAAAATTTGCATATTGGAACCATTTATTGAGGAAAAACATTTACTTTCGATCGGGTGTCTCACCCTTGGTCAGGTAATTCTTTGTTCTGGGTGGTGAGACTGTGCATTGCAGGCTGTTCAACTGCATCCCTGGCCTCCCCCCACTAGATGGTAGTAGCATACTGCCCCAGCTCATCCACTCTGTTCCCACTCTCAACAACCAAAAATGTTTCCACACATAGCCAAATGTTTAAGTGCCCAGGCTGAGGCCGGCTGCTCTAGATGTAGTTCTCTAATCAGGATTAAATAATGCACATAAACTTTATTCATCATTCTCTTTATGTTGTAGTAGGAAAACTAAGGCATTTCATGAAAAATGAGATCCGCTGTACAATGCATAATACAGTCAAAGGTCTTAACTATCATTTCTCACCTTTAATCAATAAAGATTATTCCTCTTTAAAGATGATGAAAAATTACTCATATTAAACATAGTAAAAATAAGTATCATTAATCGCACACTACATTTCTAACCTCTTTACATTCATTAATGCTCCGAACACAATGCTGGTTTTGGTTATGGCTTTGTGTTTCTTTAAAATGTTAACTGGGCCAGACGAGATGGCTCACACCTGTAATCCCAGCACTTTGGGAGGCCGAGGCAGGTGGATTACCTGAGGTCAGGAGTTCGAGACCAGCTTGGACAATATGGTGAAACCCCATCTCTACTAAAAATATCAAAATTAAGCTGGGAATGGTGGCTCATGTCTATAATCCCAGCACTTTGGGAGGCTGAGGCAGGTGGATCATGAAGTCAGGAGATTGAGACCATCCTGGCCAACATGATGAAACCCCGTCTCAACTAAAATATAAAAATTAAAAAAAAAATTAGCCAGGTGTGGTGGCATGTACCTGTAGTCCCAGCTACTGGTGAGGCTGAGACAGGGGAATTGCTTGAACCGGGACGTGGAGGTTGCAGTGAGCCGAGATCGTGCCACTGCACTCCAACCCGGCAACAGAGCAAGACTCCATCTCAAAAAACAAAATTAGCTGGGTGTGGTAGCTGGCACCTGTAATCCTAGCTACTCAGGAGGCTGAGGCAGGAATATCAGGAGGCGGAGGTTGCAGTGAACTGAGATTGCCATACTGCACTCTGGCCTGGGCAACAGAGTGAGACTTTATCTCAAAAAAAATACAATAAAATAAAATGTTAACAAAAATAGATTTTTAATTTGTGAAACACAGTAACTGTCATTTGGTTTTAAAAAGAATTGTATCTTAATCATTAAGCTAAAAACATAGCAAGAAAACAATGACATGGTCACTTGATGGCTGTCTCAGTCTGCTTTTCACCATCTAATAAGACACCATTAAAGTAATTCCAGCAGAAAGTCTCACAAATTCATCAACCTCCAAAGCACATGAGGGAAGGTGCTAATACAGTGGACAGCAAGAACCATAATGGCAGCAGAACATGTTATTTAAATTTTTGAAATAATAATACAGAAGTAGGAACCCTTGTGAAATCATGTTCTTGTTTGGTTAACAAGATCATTAATACTTTATAAACTTCATATATGTGGCATACTGTAAGATTGAAAGAATAAAATAAGCAAGAAAGCACCATAAAACACGTGACATAAGAAACACCATGCTAGGTGCAGTGGCTCATGCCTGTAATCCCAGCATTTGGGGAGGCCGAGGGAAGCAGATCACCTGAGGTCAGGAGTTCAAGACCAGCCTGCCCAACATGGTGAAACTCTGTCTCTACTAAAAATACAAAAATTAGCCGGTCGTGGTAGCGCACACCTGTAGTCCCAGCTACTCAGGAGGTTGAGGCATGAGAATCGCTTGAACCCATGAGGTGGAGGTTGTGGTGAGCTGAGTCTGAGCCACTGAACTCCAGCCTGGGCTCTAGGCAAGAGTGAGACTCTGTCTCAAAATAAAAAAAATAAAAATAAGAGAAATACTGCATTACAGTAACTTTTTTGTCTTTTGAGATGGAGTCTCCTTCTGTCACCCATGCTGGAGAACAATGGCGCCATCTTGGCTCACTGCAACCTCCACCTCCCGGGTTCAAGTGATTCTCCTGTGTCAGCCTCCAAGTAGCTGGGATTACAGGCATGCGCCACCACACCCAGCTAATTTTTGTATTATTAGTAAAGACGGGGTTTCATCATGTTCAGGCTGGTCTTGAACTCCTGACCTCATGATCCACCTGTCTCGGCTTCCCAAAGTGCTGGGATTACAGGCGTGAGCCACCGCACCCGGCCTACAATAACTTTTATAGGCACAAACTTCCTTAAGTTTCAGGCAAGTGAAATTCAACCCTCATTATTCATGAGGACGTCAAGAAAGCCAGTTTACAAACAAGCTCGAGCACCCTACAAATGGCTCTTACTTAGTACAGAGGTCTTAGGATAAACGTGTTTATACTTTGACTGAACAGTCACGTGGATATCATAGAGATGGCGACTGTGTATCACTATCCGATGAAACTGCTTGCCTTCCTTCATGATTTCTTCAGTCTTTTTTCAGTAGACATAAGATTTTCAAAAAAGTCTGAATCTTCTAAGTATAGCTCATCACCTGAAAAAGGAAAAAAATTCATTTTATTTTTAAATACAAAATTATTTTTCACCATGGCAAAATGGATACAATTTTAATTATTTCTAGTATTACTGTATAAATCACTCTGATATATTAGTGACATACCAATCAGTATTTATTTTATCTATTTTGTATGTTTAGAAGTGAGATAGCTGTTAAAGTAGTATTTCTTTATTGGGGGGTGTTTTTATTTTGTCTTTTTAAATTTTGTTTTGTTTTGTTTTGAGACGGCAACCTCCACCTCCCGGGCCTGAGCGATTCTCAACCCTCAGTTTCACGAGTAGCTGGGATTACAGGTGCCCGCCATGATGCCTGGCTTATTTTTGTATAGTTAGTAGAGACAGGTTTCACCATGTTGACCAGGCTGGTCTCGAACTCCTGACCTCAAATGATTCACCCACCTTGGCCTCCCAAAGTGCTGGGATTACAGGCGTGAGGTACTGCGCCCGCCTCTTTCTTGTGTTTTTAATATCCCCTCACAACTCCCCAGCCAAGAGTTTTCTTTAGGCTCATAAACATCTGTGACTGGTATGTTTTCACTGTGAACTGTGACTTTTATACTAGTTCATGACTCTCTTTATTCCATTCAATATTGATATTAAGATTGGCCTTGATATCCACATACTTTTGGTGTTTCAAAGTAGGCTATTCTGATCAATTACATTCAGGTTAATTTAGGGAAATTCTATCAAAATCATTACATTTTACCCCTGTAGGTTGAGTAACTTTTTTAAAAAATTTTTTATATTTTTGAAACAGAATCTCACTCTGTTACCCAGGCTGGAAAGCAGTGCCATGATCTTGTCTCACTGCAACCTCCACCTCCTGGGTTCAAGCGATTTTCCTGCCTCAGCCTCCTGAGTAGCAGGGATTACAGGTGTATGCCACCATGCCTAGCTAACGTATATATTTTTTTGTATGTTTAGTTGAGACAGAGTTTCACCATGTTGGCCAGGCTGGTCTTAAACTCCTGACCTTAAGTTATCCACCTGCCTCAGCCTCCCAAAGTGCTGGGCGTGAGCCACTGTGCCCGGCCCTGAGTCACAAATCTTATCACTATTTGCAGGAACTAAGCAGGCAACCGTGACAACAGGTCTCAAAGCCCTACTCTAAACTGCCACTGCCATGAAAACTCCAACCTGTGGCTCACCCCACAGCAACTGACCATCAACAAGCTCCCTAATTCAAATTAGGTGACAACTTATGAGTTCTCAAAATTCAAACTTAAAATGCAAAAAAGTGAGAAATTACATGAGAAAGACCTTTGTCAATGTCTAGGAAATATACTAATATAAATGTATGTGTATGTATATGACATTATGCAGAATTTCTGGTTATAATAAGTAACATGGATATTTTATAGCCTTTGATCTTCTCTAGCTAATACCCTCTAGACTATAAAACACAGGCTCTAATTCCTGTTTCTGTTGGGTAATACCGCCATGCAGCCCAGGGCACGGAATGTGAATACTAACGAAAGCACTGAGGCTTCACTGATTTACCTGGTAAAATCTGGAGCGTCGCATCAGCAGTTAACAAGGTGATCGGCAGCCACCTTTCCCGTCCTTCTAATGCACGATCCAAGCAGAATCTTTGCAAGTCAGAGAGTGAGGCAAAGTTTGCAAGTCTTCTCACTTCATAGAACTGTGGGGGTGCCAACCAGATTTCTTTTGATAAGAAACTTTCAGTCGCCTCTGATGGAGATGACCACTGTGAAAGACGAAGGCAGGGTTTCCTAAGGTTTATGCCATAGACAGTGTGAGGCTTGAGCTAGTTAGACCAGTACCTAAGGTAGAATTGAAAGTGTCAAATGAATTCCTTAATGTGCCCTGTGAGATCCCTCCGACAACATGACAGGATGCAGTGAAGAAAGCTGGGTTGATCCTCTTAAGAGGTTACTTATCGGGACACTGATCCTCAGAACTAGTAAAAAAAATAGGGCAGACTTCTGAGGCTTGACCTGGGACAGCTGTTCAGCATGAAAGGTGGGAGATGCAGAGAGGACAAGGTGGTTCTGGTCACTGCTGAAAGAAAGACTCTGAGGGTATACTCATCACAGTAGATTGAGAATGTGGTGCCTGTTCATTCCTCCGGGAAATGAGTATTTGGCTAGATCCTGAGGATATGATGATGGACATCACAAAGCTCTCTTAGGCCCTATGGGGACTTCAGCAACCGAAATGCTCTGTGATGTATGCCACATGGTACAACGGCAGTGAAGCATCAGGAGCAACAGCAGCTTTCAGGAAGCCACCAGGCACGACTCAGCTACAGTTGAGAGAGTAATAACTTGGTAGGATTTCAGCCATGCAGTGTTTGCCCAGTAAACTTCAGTGGCTTCATTCTACAACCTCCTCTTCTTCCTCAGCCTGCTTTCCATAGACATTTAGATAAAGAGCTGATTCAATGGATATGGAATAACCTCGAAGGGTTGTTCTTTAGTTGGTTTACTAAATATCCACTTACACACCTAGGAAAAACTGATTCTCACCCACAACCCCTGGGATTTGGAATTGATTTCTGCTTTGGATGACTGTAGGTCAAGGTTTGCAAGCTTGTATTGCTTAAATATTGACTGAGAAGCCCGTGAAGCCTTCACACTCCCAGGGCCCTGGTATGCACCCAGCAATCTAAGAGTTCCGAGAGTCCCCTAATCATTCTGCAGTTGGCCAGAACTGCATTTGAAAAACAGAGCTCGGGGCCTCAAAGGACCACCCAACCTCTCTCTGTTATTTCCAAGGCAACTGTGTGAGTTCAGTGATAACGAAGACAAAGGGTTAAATGGCAGGCATCAACCCACTTAAGCCAACCTGTTTCAGTTAGTCCAGACCACAGGTTACAATACCTTATCACTTACTGGTTACTTCTTACTAGCAGAGCACTGTTTCAAATGCAATGCTTTACTGCTGAGTGCAGTGGCTCACACCTGCAATCCCAGCCACCTGGGAGGCTGTGGTGGGCGGCGAGTCCTACCACAGCCAGGGTTACTGCTTAAAGGGAATTTCCAGACTGCAACCCAGGGAGCAAGAGTCTAATCAGAGCCCGGGATTTCCACTGGCTTGAGACACAGCTTGAAGTTTGGGAAGCCCACACAGCAGAATTTGGGAAGCAGTGTACAGAAGTCTCCCCTTAGGCAAGAGGAATACTTTTCCAGATCCCTAGTGGATGCCCGAAACTAAGGAAGTGCTGAGCCTTATACCAACTATGCCCTTCCTACACAAAACACCTATGATAAAGTTTGACTGAAAAATTAGGCCCAGTAAGAGATTAACACTAATTTATAATAAACTATAACAATGATAACAATTCCTGTAATAAAAGTTAGTGAGTGTGGTCTCTCTCTCTAAATATCTTAATATTTTCAGACCTTGGTTGACTGAGGGTAACTGAAATCATGAAAAGAGACACCAAGGATAAAGCTGTACCCGAGAGGAAAGACCTACAGAGTAGAGCTCCAGAACTCTGTGTAGGGTGCCCTTGAATCTCTGCTAAACACTTAATCTATGCATGCATAAGGTGAAACCATATGAGACCAGGAAAGAATGAGGCCTCTTTTTTTTTCCTATTATTATTATTTTACTTACCACTATACGCACAAGGAAGGAATGATTTCTGAAGAAAGAACAATTACCTGACAGTTTTAAGATTAAACTCCCAGAGCTCACCTGGGGCCAAGGATTACTGGAGTTCCTTCCAATCACAGTGGAGACATCATGTTGAATATAAGCAGCACTCAAGTAGACTTCATAAGAGTTACACATTTAGAAGTGCAGCTAATGGCCAGGTGCAGTGGCTCATGTCTGTAATCCCACCACTTTGGGAGGCAGAGGCGGGCTGATCACCTGAGGTCAGGAGTTCAAGACCAGCCTGACCAACATGGTAAAATCCTAACTTCTAAAAATACAAAAATTAGCCAGGCATGGTGATGCATGTCTGTAATCACAGCTACTCGGGAGGCTGAGGCACGAGAATCACTTGAACCAGGGAGGCAGACATTGCAGTGAGCCAAGATTGCACCACTGCACTCCAGCCTGGGTGAAAGAGTGAGACTCTGTCTCAAAAAAAAAAAAAAAAAAAGTTGGGGGGAGCTAAATTAGCTCTAGAATAAAGAATAAAGGCTATATAGATGCATGTTAAAATTATTTAAAATTAAACCTCAAGACCATTAAGGTAATTTGCAATCACTTAACTGCCTGCTAGGAAAAGTCCAATACTCTCTTTTTTCTTTTCTTTTTTTTGAGACGGAGTCATGCTCTGTCACCCAGACTTGAGTGCAGTGGCACAATTTCGGCTCACTGCAACCTCTGCCTCCTGGGTTCAAGCAATTTTCCTGCTTCAGCCTCCCTAGTAGCTAGGATTACAGGGGTCCGCTAATTTTTTTTTGTTTTTTTTTTTTTTGAGACGGAGTTTCACTCTTGTTACCCAGGCTGGAGTGCAATGGCGCAATCTCAGCTCATCGCAACCTCCGCCTCCTGGGTTCAGGCAATTCTCCTGCCTCAGCCTCCTGAGTAGCTGAGGTTACAGGCACGCGCCACCATGTCCAGCTAATTTTTTGTAATTTTTAGTAGAGACGGGGTTTCACCATGTTGACCAGGATGGTCTCGATCTGTTGACCTCGTGATCCACCCGCCTCGGCCTCCCAAAGTGCTGGGATTACAGGCTTGAGCCACCGCGCCCGGCCTTTTTTTTGTATTTTTAGTAGAGATAGGGTTTCACCGTGTTGGCAAGGCTGGTCTCAAACTCCTGACCTCGTGATCCACCCACCTAGGCCTCCCAAAGGGCTAGAATTACAGCAGTAAGCCCCTGCACCCAGCCAATACTCTTTAAGGAATTGACAAAATCTAGCACTGAACAACATAAAGTCACAATATCCAATATTCAATTAAAAAAACTGCAAGACATGGCTGGGCACGGTGGCTCATGCCTGTAATCCTAGCACTTTGGGAGGCTGAGGTGGGTGGATCATGAGGTCAAGAGATTGAGACCATCCTGGCAAACATGGTAAAACCCCGTCTCTATTAAAAATACAAAAATTGGCTGGGTGTGGTGGTACCTGCCTGTAATCCCAGCTACTTGAGAGGCTGAGGCAGGAGAATCACTTGAACCCAGGAGGTGGAGGTTGTAGTGAGCTGAAATCATGCCACTGCACTCCAGCCAGGGCGACAAAGCAAGACTGCATCTTAAAAACAAAAAAACTGGCCGGACGCGGTGGCTCAAGCCTGTAATCCCAGCACTTTGGGAGGCCGAGGCGGGTGGATCACGAGGTCAAGATATCGAGACTACCCTGGTCAACATGGTGAAACCCCGTCTCTACTAAAGATACAAAAAATTAGCTGGGCATGGTGGCGCGTGCCTATAATCCCAGATACTCAGGAGGCTGAGGCAGGAGAATTGCCTGAACCCAGGAGGCGGAGGTTGCGGTGAGCCGAGATCGCGCCATTGCACTCCAGCCTGGGTAACAAGAGCGAAACTCCGTCTCAAAAAAAAAACAAAAAACCTGCAAGCTATGATGAAGCAAGACAACATCATCTAAAACTCGAAGAAAAATAAATCAATAGAAACAGACCCAGAAATTACATCAATTATTAAGTTAGCAGAAAAGGACATTAAAACCAATGCTGTAAGTATGTTCCACTGGTTTAAAGATACAAAGGAAAACATTGGCATGATGAAAGAAATAAAAAATATTACCTGCAAAAGTGCTCTCATAAGAAATGTATGCAAACTAGAAAATAATGGAGCAATATTTTTAGGTAAAAATATTTTAGGTAAAAAATTAAAAAACCTATCCAACTAGAATTTTATACCTAGTCAGAGTATCTTCCAAAATCAAAGGAAAAATAGTAATTTTCAAGCAAACAAAAATTAGAGTATTCATTGTCATAGGCTCTAAACTACAAGATATATTAGAGAAACTTCTTTAGGCAGAAGGATACCAGAGATAGATTTAGAACCACACGAAGGAATAAAGAGTGCTAAAAACAGTAAATATGTGGCTAAACATGGTGCCCAGCATTTCAGGAGACTGAGGTGGGTGGATCACCTGAGGTCACGAGTTCAAGACCAGCCTGGCCAACATGGTGAAACCTCGTCTCTATTAAAAATACAAAAATTAGCCAGGCATGGTGGCAGGCACCTGTAATCCCAGCTACTTGGGAGTCTGAGGCAGGAGAATTGCTTGAACCCAGGAGGCGGAGACTGTGCTAAGCCGAGATCGCACGACCTCACTCCAGCCTGAGTGAGTGAGACTCCATCTAAAAAAACAAAAGTAAATATGCAGGTAAACATAAGACATTTCTTCTCATTAAGATTGATGATCTAGGCCACAGACAGGGGTTCATGCCTGTAATCCCAGCACTTTGAAAGGCTGAGGCGGGTGGATCACCTGAGGTCAGGAGTTTGAGACCAGCCTGACCAACATGGAGAAACCCCATCTCTACTAAAAATACAAAAAATTAGCCGGGTGTGGTGGCGCATGCTGTAGTCCCAGCTACTTGGGAGGCTGAGGCAGGAGAATCGCTTGAACCCAGGAAGTGGAGGTTGTGGTGAGCCCAGATCGCACCATTGCACTCCAGCTTGGGCAACAGGAGTAAAATTGTGTCTAAAAAAAAAAAAAACACCTTGACAGTCTAAAGCAAAATTAATCTGAGTGTAGAGTTTATAATAAAAGTCAGATGTCTGACAACAATAGCATAAAAGACAGGAGGGAAAAAACAAGTATAATGTCAAAAGGTTCTAACTATAAATGAAATGAAACGTGTAGACTGCAAATTTTAGAGCAATTACAAAGAACTATAGTCAATAAGTTAATAATGGAAATAAAACAATAATAGGAAAAACAGTCCATTTCAAATAGACGAGAGCAAAAAAATGCGCAGCAAGATGGTAGATTTGAATCTAACCTTATTGACTATAACAACTGTAAATAAACACTCCAAATAAAAGGCAAAAGTTTTTATACTGGATAAAAAGCAAGACTATATGCTGCCGATAAGAAACACGTTTTATTTTTTTAATTTAATTAATTTTTCTTGAGACGGAGTCTAGCTCTGTCTCCAGGCTGGAATGAAGTGGTGTGATCTTGGCTAACTACAACCTCCACCTCCTGGTTCAAGTGATTCTTCGGCCTCAGCCTGAGTAGCTGGGATTACAAGCCTACACCACCACACCCAGCTAATTTTTTGTATTTTTTAGTACAGACAGGTTTTCACCATGTTGGTCAGGATGGTCTCAATCTCTTGACCTCATGATCTGCCCACCTCAGACTCCAAAAGTGCTGGGATTACAGGCAAGAGCCACCATGCCTGGCCTTTTTTTTTTTTTTTTTTTTTTTTTTTTTCAGATGGAGTCTCACTTTGTGACCCAGGAGGCTGGAATGATCCTGGTTCCCTGCAACCTCCGCCTCCTAGATTCAAGAGATTCTCCCATCTCCACTAGGCTAATTTTTGTATTTTTACTAGAGATGGGGTTTTGCTATGTTGCTGGGCTGGTCTCAAATTCCTGACCTCAGGTGATCTGCCTATCTTGGCCTCCCAAAGTGTTGGGATTATAGGTGTGAGCCACTGTGTCGAGCCAGAAACACACTTTAAATATAGAGACACAAATAGTTTAAAAGGATGGAAAATATATACTAACATGAATCAAAAGAAAGTCAGAATAGCTATATTAATCTCAAACTGAGTAAACTTCAGATTTCAGAATACAGATTATTACTAGGAATAAAGAAGGATATTTCATAATCATCAAAGGGTTAATCCGTGAAGTTTTAAAAGTCCTAAATGTGGATGCAGTTAATACCTTACATGGGAGCTTCAAAATACCTGAAGCCAAATCTGATAAAACTGAAAGGTGAAAAAGACAGATCCATGATTATTAGTTGAAGATGTCCACATTCTGCTCTCAGCATCTGATAAAATAAGGAAATGATGTAGAAGACCTGCAAGACTGGCTGGGTATGGTGGCTCACGCCTGTAATCCAGCACTTTGGGAGGCCCAGGCAGGTGGATCACGTGAGGTCAGGAGTTCGAGACCAGCCTGACCAACATGGTGAAACCCCGTCTCTACTAAAAATACAAAAGTTAGTTGGGCGTGGTGGTGGGCGCCTGTAATCCCAGCTGCTGAGGAGGTTGAGGCAGGGAGGTGAGGTTGCAGTGAGCCGAGATCACGCCACTGTACTCTAGCCTGGACGACAGCGCAAGACTCCATCTCAAAAAAAAAAAAAAAGACTTGCAAGATGCTATGGAACAATTCAACCTAATTTGATGTTTTTACAAATACCAACAAACAACAGAATACATATTCTTCTTAGGTGCAAAGAGAACATTCACCAAGACAGACTATATTCATGACCATAAAACAAGTCTCAATGATTTTTTTTTTGAGACAGGTCTCACTCTGTCATCCAGACTGAAGTGCAGTGGTGTGATCATGACTCGCTGCAGCCTCAACCTCCCAGGCTCAAGTGATCCTCCTACCTTAGCTTCCTCAGTAACAGGAACCACAAGCGCACACCACCATACCCAGCTAATTTAAAACATTTTTTGTAGATATGAGGTCTTAGTATATTACAGTCCAGGCAGGTCTTGAGCTCCTGAGCTAAATCGATCCTCCCGCCTTGCTCCTCCAAAAACCTGAGATTATAGGTGTCAGTCACTGTACTGGTCAATAAATTTTAAAAGACTTAAACTGGCCAAGCACAGTAGCGTATGCCAATAATCCCCAAGACTTTGGGAGGCTGAGGCTGGACAGTCGCTTGAGACCAGGAGTTCAAGACCTGCCTGAGCAACATAGTGAGATCTGGTCTTTACAAAACAAACAAACAAAATTAGTCAATGGTTGCAGGTGTCTGTGGGCCCAGCTACCCGGGAAGCTGAGATTGGAAAATCACTTGAGCCCGGAAGCTGGAGACCAGCCTGGGCAACACTGAGAGACAAGACCCCTATCTGTACCAAAAAATAAATAAAAATAGTAAGATCGAAATCCTATTAAGTCTGCTCTCCACGAAAACCATATTAAACGGCTGGAGATGAAGTATATCTAGACAAGTACAAGTGCTCGGGACAGAGTCTGGTGTCTGATCAGTGCTCTGCAGAGCTGGCTGGGTCTCCGCAGTGGCCCCTCTGGAGGAACCACGTGGAGAGACAGGCTCGAGGCCTTGAGACCCCAAAGCCTGGGAAAGCAGAGAATGCTTCACCAAGTGCATGGCTTTGGAATAGTGGGGTGAGAGTTTCCTGCCCATCCAAGCGTTCCCAGCTGATTAACCTCTCTGGGCTCGGCCTATGCGGGGGTCCCTAGAAGGCCTAGGCCGCCTGGAGGGGCCCTCCCTCTTAGGTCCCCGGGGTCCCCAGCCCGGCGGTGAGTAGACCCTACCTGGAAGCCCACCACCTCTGCCAAGTCGGGGTAGACAGGCGGCGGCTCGCGCAGGCAGCACAGGAAGAAGGCCGTGTCGAAGCGGCGAGTGCCGCCGCGCCAGAAAGGTGTGAGCCAGCAGCTCCAGTCGTGCAGCGCCCAGATGTTGGGCGTGCAGTCGAGGTGCTCGCACAGCCGCAGGAAGTGGCTCGGGTCCCGGCGCACGCGGGCTCGCCAAGCGGCCAGGCCGGGCGGCGGCTCGAGGGCCAGGCCTGGCCCGGACGCTGGGTCTGGCGGGGAAGTCCTGGGCCTCAGCAGTAGCACGCCAGCCTCCTCGAAGGCCTCGCGCACAGCGCAGATGCGGAACGCGACGTCCTCAGGCAGCGTCCACTTGCTGTCGGCGTTGCCGTCGCCGGCGACGTTGGGCAGCGACGGGAAGGCGTTGCAGCGGACCGGCGCCGGGCCCAGGCCGAAGCGCGGCGGCCCATGGTGCGGCGCGAAGAGATCCAGCCAGTCCGCCGAGTGGTCGGCCGCGTCTAGCACTCCGCCTGGGAAGACGTGCGCGCCCGGCATGAAGCCTTGTCGCCCGGAGCGCTGCAGCAGCAGCAGCCGGAAGTCCTCGGCGGGCGGCGGGGGCGAAGGCTGGGTGGCGGTCCCCGGGCGCGTCCAGCCAGCCGCCAGCACTACGCTGGCCGCCTGTCGCCAGCGGCTGGGGTCCGGCCGCAGGGAGCCGCTCATGGCGGGCGGCGCGCGCGGCTTCCGGGATCCGATTCCTGCGCGGCCCGAGCTCCTCGGCAGGTGGCCCGGCCCTGCAGCGACCCCCGCACCCGCAGAGGCTGAGCGATGACAGCGCCCCGCGTTAGGTCGGCACACGCACCCTCTCCGGCGCCTGCTTGTGGGAGGGGCCTGCGCCACCAGAGCAGGCGCGGCCTCCAGTGCACTGGGGTCCAGCTAGGGCGCTCGCGCAGGACAAAGGGTGTCACAGCAGCCAGCGAGCGGTGGTCATTCACACTGCCTGAAAGCAGGACCGCAGTATTCTCACGCAGGAAGCTTGGACCGAAAGCAGGAATGCTTAAGGGCACATATGACTTGTCACAGTAAAAAAAAAAAAAAAAAAAACAGGATGCAAACCCAGGCCTGATAACATCCACCTCACTGAAAGCCCAAGACTAGGACTTTCACATTTGAACAAGGATCCACATGTGTGTGGGTGTTTCCTGCGAGAGGGAGAGAGGGCATTCAAAGGGCGAAAGTCTGACCTTTGCAAGCACAGATGAACCACATTAATGAGAAACGAATGGATGAACCAGATGCCAAATTATACGTTTCCTACTGCACAGCTTCAATGTGAAAGGTCCTCCCAGAGTAATTCCTTCCTTTCTTCTGGAAACCTTTTATTGTCAGGGCCCCTGGGGACCACCTTACCTGTCTTAGGACATTTGACAAGTTCCACTTTGATGGGAGATGTTTAATCTGGGCCTCAACATGGAAATTTCTCTCCACTCCACGTTTTTGGTGTCTAGAGGACTCCCACCTCCCATAGCAGGGTTATGATCTTTTGAAAAGCCTGTGTAAAATTGAGTCTTCTCTTTTATAACTCCTTATCAGTCACTGACAGCTTCTCCCATAATTGCTATTATAATTGGATCACACATTTGTTATGTTTTTGGATGACATACACTGTACTCCTGCCAACCCTCACAAACCATCATTTTAATGTGGGTTATATCCTAGTCCATAGATGACACTGTCAATATTTAGGGGTTTTTGTTTAAGAGACCTGGTATCTGGCTGGGTGCTGTGGCTCATGCCTGTAATCCCAGCCTTTTGAGAGGTCCATGCTGGTGGATTACCTGAGGCCAGGACTTCGAGACCAGCTGGGCCAACATGGCAAAACCGCATCTCTACTAAAAAAATACAAAAGTTAGCCGGTTGTGATGGCCCACACCTATAGTCGCAGCTACTCCTGAGGCTGAGGCACGAGAATCACTTGAATCCAGGCAGAGGTTGCAGTGAGACAAGATCGTGCCACTGCATTCCAGCATGGGTGACAGAGTGAGACTCTATCTCAAAAAAAAATAAATAAATAAATAACCAAGGGAGAGAAAGGAATTAAGGTACTCAGGTGATTAAAGTAATATGTCTTCAATACTAGGAGTAATAATAATCCTAGGGGATACAAATAGTAGTAGTTACTAAGTACACTGTGTATGAGGCACTAGGAACTTTGTAAGTATAGCATTAGTGGTGTAATTCATAAAAAACTCCATGAAGTGGAAACAGTTATCACCATTTTACAGATGACTAACCATTTATGGAGGGATTAAGAATCTTAGGAACATACTACTCCCTTCGCTGTAAAATAACACTGTAGTTTTGTGAGTGAATGTGTGTTTTTCAACATCAGTTGGTTTTCACAGAAGCTGGTTACCCCTGAGTGAGATGACCAAGTCCTGGGTGCAAAACAACAGAAACCACACCTCGCCCGGCCCCTGTAGTAGTGCAGGCCTGTTGTCCCAGCTACTCAAGAGGCTGAGTTGGGAGGATCACTTGATCTCAGGAGTTGGAGGCTGCAGTAAGCCATGATGGCATCACTGCACTCCGACCTGGGCAATAGAGCAAGACTGCCTCAAAAGAAGAAGAAAAAATAAAGTCTGGGTGCGGTGGCTCATGCCTGTAATCCTAGCACTTTGGGAGGCTGAGAAAGGAAAGTGATCTGGGGCTGCTTTTAATTAAAAAGAAAACCTGGAAGGGAAGGGACCACTGAGAAGCATCCCAGCTACCCGACTACGGCCAGTCTTCCCTGGACACCATGAACCACACGGTCCAAACCTTCTTCACTCCCGCCAGCACCAGCCGTCCCCTGGACTATGAGATGCTGAAGGAGGAACATGAGGTGGCTGTGCTGGGGGCGCCCCACAACCCTGCGCCCCCGACATCCACCGTGATCCACATCCGAAGCGAGACCTCCGTGCCCGACCACGTCGTCTGGTCCCTGTTCAACACCCTCTTCATGAACTCCTGCTGCCTGGGCTTCATGTGCGTTCGCCTACTCCGTGAAGTCTAGGGACAGGAAGATGGTTGGCGACCTGACCGGGGCCCAGGCCTACGCCTCCACCGCCAAGTGCCTGAACATCTGGGCGCTGATCTTGGGCATCCTCACGACCATTCTGCTGATCATCATCCCAATACTGATTCTGCAAGCCTATCAGTAGATCAGAGGAATCATCCCGGCCAGGGGCTCTGCCCGGGACCTGTCTCCCACATACTCCCGCTTCCATTCCTCGCCCTGCCCCCAGCCAATCCTGTATCAGCCTTTTTCCCTCACACACTTTTCCACAGTTGTGTTCAATAAAGTGCACATGTTCCTGGTGCAAAAAAAAAAAAAAAAAGAAAACCTTACGGAAGACTTGTGTGCCCTCACTGTCTGCTTAAATAAATTCTTCTTAACTCCTGTATCAATCTCAGCCTCATTTTACCCAGCCTCTAAACAAGATGGAGTTGCTCTGGTTCAAATGCATCTCACACAACCTTGCCCCAAAGTAAGCATGGGGGATGTATGTTAGCTATATGTTCACCCATTGCACATGCGGTCAACACCCCCGTAAATATGTACAGCTTCCCCCAAAACCTGTGGAATATGACTTTCTTGTGTAATACAGACCCTGGGAGGCATAAAACCCAACTTGCCCTTTCCCTCTTTGAAGAGAAAGACCTTTACAAAATGATATCCTGTCAAAGTGACATGGGGGAGCTTTTTCGGGGTGATAGAAACATTCTATATCTTTTTGGCTGTAGTAGTATTTACATTATTGTATACATTATTGCACACCTATAGAATGAATTTAACTGTATTTACTTTTTTTTTTTTTTTGAGACAATCTCATTCTGTCACCCAGGTTGTAGTGCAATGGTGCAATCTCAGTTCACTGCAACCTCTGCCTCCCAGATTCAAGTGATTCTTGTGCCTCAGCCTCTCGACTAGCTGGGATTACAGGTGTGCGCCATCACACCCAGCTATTTCTGTATTTTTAGTAGTGATGGGGTTTTACCATGTGGGCCAGGCTGGCCTCGAACTCCTGACCTCAGGTGATCCACCTGCCTCAGCCTCCCAAAGTTGGGATTATAGGTGTGAGCCACTACATCTGGCCTGTATTTACTTTTGTTTGTTTGTTTTTGAGACAGAGTCTTGCTCTGTCGACCAAGCTGGAGTGCAGTGGCACGATCTCAGCCTACTGCAAGCTCTGCCTCCCGGGTTCAAGTGATTCTCCTGCCTCCGACTCCCAAGTAGCTGGGATTACAATTGCCTGCCATCATGCCCAGCTAATTTTTGTATTTTTTAGTAGAGCTGGGACTTCACCATGTTTGGCCGGGATGGTGTGGAACTCCTGACCTCGGGAGATATGCCCACCTTGGCCTCCCAAAGTGTTGGGATTACAAGTGTGAGCCACTGCGCCCAGCCTTCTATTTTCTTTACACTTCAATACATTTAACTTTAAAAAGTATATAGGTTTCAACTTTAGATTGACCTGAATTTCCTTCTCTTACTTAAAGCTTGTTGTTATATACTGTGGCATAATATGAAATACAAAATACGTCCGGGCGCGGTGGCTCACGCCTATAATCCCAGCACTTTGGGAGGCCGAGGTGGGTGGATCACGAGGTCAAGAGATCGAGACCATCCTGGTCAACATGGTGAAACCCTGTCTCTACTAAAGATACAAAATATTAGCTGGGCATGGTGGCGTGTGCCTGTAATCCCAGCTACTCAGGAGGCTGAGGCAGGAGAATTGCCTGAACCCAGGAGGCGGAGGTTGTGGTGAGCCGAGATCGCGTCATTGCACTCCAGCCTGGGTAAAAGAGCGAAACTCCATCTCAAAAAAAAAAATTAGCTGGGCATGGTGGTGCGTGCATGTACTCCCAGCTACTTGGGAGGCTGAGGTGGGAGGATTGTTTGAGCCCAGGAGGTGAAGGTTGCAGTGAGCCAGGCACCAGTGCCCTCCAGGCCTGGGTGACAGAGTGATACTGTTGAATGAGAGATTTGGTGGACTTCTGGATTGCTGAAGACATGGAGGTGGTGGGAGGGTGGCTCACGCAGAGGGCCGTGTAAGCTTTGCGTGCGCTGAAAGCTTGCCCTGTCCATCATCTCCAGCTTTAATTATATCTCTCATAATTAACTGGTAAATGTAAGTAAAGTATCAGGACAAAACAACACATTTAGTTAAGATCTTAACTGGTTTTTATTTTCAATTCTGGAATCAGGCAACTCCTCATTCTATAAAATAAAATGGGTGCTCCCATGAGCTGGACAGAGGAGCTCGGTGCTTTTTTTTAGGTAGACTCTTGCTCTGTTGCCCAGGCTGAAATGCAGTGGTATGATCTCGGCTCACTGCAACCTCCACCTCCTGGGTTCGAGTGATTGTCCTGCCTCAGCTTCCCTAGTAGCTGGGACTATAGGCACACACTGCCACACCCAGCTAGTTTTTTTTTTTGTATTTTAGTAGTGGGGTTTCACTGTGTTGGCCAGGCTGGTCTTGAACTCCTGAGCTCAGCAGTCCTCCCACCTTGGCCACCCAAAGTGCTGGGATTACAGGTGTGAGCCACTGTGCCTGGCATGGAGCTCAGTTTTACAGACAAACAGAAAACAAAAGGCAGACTGGTTGTTTCAAAGTTACTTTCTTTGAAAGGTGAAAGCAGAGGGGACTTCCTTATCACGCACGTTGAAACTGTCTCAGTAGGTATGGCTTGGCACGCACCTGTAGCCCCACCTACTCAGGAGGCTAAGGTGGGAGGATCTCTTGAGTCCAGGTATTCAAGACCAGCTTGGGAAACATATCCAGACTCCATCTCATTTAAAAAAAACACACACACACAAAAACACACACAAAAAAACTGGATTTGGGGATTTGGCTATCATCTCTAACTCTCCTGATCCCTGGGAAAGTCAGATAAAAAGTTAGTTTCAGCATGGTGACATGGAATTTTTAGCATGATTAACTCCATTTTGGGTTGGTCTGTTGGGCCTAAGCAGTAGCTCAGTTCGAACCAAAGGTCTCCTATAAATTTCATGTAACAAGTATTGCCCTGAGTTGTGTGAGCTATCCTAGCAAATGATTAAACCCAACAAGGGGGGTCATGGGAACTCCAACTTATGTCCCATGAATGAGAATCCCAGGTCACACTTTTTTTTTTGAGACAGAGTTTCTTTCTGTCCCGGGCTGGAGTGCCATAGTGGGATCTTGGCTCACTGCAACCTCCACCTCCCAAGTTCAAGTGATTCTCCTGCCTTGGCCTCCCAGGTAGCTGAGATTACAGGCAAGCACCACCATGCCCAGCTATTTTTTTGTATTTTGAGTAAAGATGGGGTTTCACCATATAGGCCAGGCTGCTCTTGAACTCCTGACCTCGTGATCCGCCTGCCTGGGCCTCCCAAAGTGCTGGGATTACAGGTGTGCACCATCACACCTGGCCCCAGGTCACACTTCTTTAACTGGTGTCCGAAGTGTATGTGTATGGCAGGGTGCTGCCTTGTGGGCCTTTCACCTGTGGGGTCTTTATAGACAGTATCCAGTAGAGAGCGTCAGAATTGAATGATAGTACACCCAGTTGCTGACGTTCTCTGTTGAAGAATTTTTTTTCTTTCTTCTTTTTTAATTGAGACAGCGTCTCACTGCAACATCCAGGCTGGAGTGCAATGGCCCAAACTTGGCCTATTGCAACCTCTGCCTCCCAGGATCAAGCAATTCTCCTGCCTCAGCTTCCCAGGTAGCTGGGATTACAAATGCGCACTACCATGCATGGCTAATTTTTGGATTTTTAGTAGAGATGGGGTTTCACCATGTTGGCCAGGCTGGTCTCGAACTCCTGATCTCAAGTGATCTACCCACCTCATGCTCCCAAAGTGCTGGGATTACAAGTGTGAGCCACTGCACCCAACCAAATTACTCTTTATGTCCTTCTGACAACAGGAGCTCTTACTTGGCTTATTTACATTGGTCTTATTAGCCTTAAAGCTTTACAATTCTCAGGCCAGCACAGGGACTCACACCTGTAATTTCAAGGCAGGCAGATCACTTGAGGTCAGGAGTTTGAGACCAGCCTGGCCAACATAGTGAAACCCCATCTCTAGCAAATACAAAAATTAGCCGGGCGTGGTGGCATGCATCTGTCATCCCAGCTACTCTGGAGGCTGAGGCATGGGAATCGCTTGAACCTGGGAGGTGGAGGTTGCAGCGAGCTAAGATCCTGCCACTGCACTCCAGCCTAGACAACAGAGCAAGACTCTGCGTTAAAAAAAGAAAAATTCTCAAATACCAAAGAAAAAGTATGCCCAAGATTCTCATGGTACTGTGATAAAAACACCCAGAATCTTCTATGGATCAGATGAAAAATAAGTAAATGAGAAAAACATCTTTCTAGATATTCATCTTGTCCTCGTGGAGAGAAGACTGCAACATAATCTTTGCTCAGTTCCTAACAGCCAGAAGAAGCAGTATTTGAAATGTGACTTTGATCTGTCTTGACATAGCCAAAGATCCTTCGTATGGAGACCTATCTTCTAGGATTGCATCCTGCATTAGAAATCTGAGTATAATCATATTGTGAGTGGGGCAGGGTAGCTCCCACCTGCCACCCAGCACTTTGGGAGGCTGAAGCAGGCAGATTGCTTGAGCCCAGGTGTTTGAGAACAGCCTGGGCAACTTAGTGAGATCCTGTCTCTGCTAAAAAGACAAAAATTAGCTGGGCATGGTAGCACGCATGTGTAGTTCCAGCTACTCGGGAGGATCACCTAAGCCCGGGAAGTAGAGGCTGGAGTAAGGCGTGATTGGGACTCTGCACTTCAGTGTGGGCAACGGGAGTGACACTGTCTCAAAAAACAAAATCACATTGCAGAAAAGCACTTGGAGATTTACAATACTGAACATCTCACATAATGAAATCTGTGAAGGGTAAATACACTGATCAGGATGTTCACTCCCATTCAAATATCAAAAATTAAGAACACACACACACACACACACACACATAGAGAGAGAGAGGCAGAATCTTGCTCAGTTGCCAGGCTGGAGTGCAGTGGCACAATCTTGGCTCACTGCAACCTCCGCCTCCTGGGTTCAAGCAATTCTTGTGCCTCAGCCTCTTGAGTAGCTGGGATTACAGGCACATGACACCACACCTAGCTAATTTTTGTATTTTTAGTAGAGATGGGTTTCACCATGTTGACTAGGATGGTCTTGAACTTCTGACCCCATGATCCACCCACCGCAGCCTCCCAAAGTGCTGAGCCACTGCACCCAGCCCCAAAATTAAGAATATACATTTTTTAAAAAAGGCCAGGTACAGTGGCTCACACCTGTAATCCCAGCACTTTGGAAGGCTGAGGCAGGCAGATCACCTGAGGTCAGGAGTTTGAGATCAGCCTGGCCAACACGGCAAAACCCAGTCTCTACTAAAAATACAAAAATTAGCAGAGCATGTTGGTGGGTGCCTGTAATCCCATCTACTCGGGAAGCTGAGGCAGGAGAATCGCTTGAACTCCCTAGGCAGAGGTTGTAGTGAGCCGAGATTGCACTTTTGCATGGCCCTGGGCAACTAGAGCCAAACTGCATCTCAAAAAAAAAAAAAAAAAAAAGAATATTAAAAACCCCCAGCAAGTTGAGGCTGGCACAGTGGCTCATACCTGTAATCCCAGCACTTTGAGAGGTCAAGGTGGGAGGATCACTTGAGGCCAGGAGTTCAAGACCAGCCTGGGCTACATATACATAGCAAGGCCCTGTTTCTATTTTTATTTTATTTTATTTTTCTTATTATTTCTTTTTTTTTTTTTATCACAAGTTGATCTCTGAATCATTGGAGGGTGCCTTTTCTCACTATTACTTTTAATTATAGCTTATTATCCTTAATTTTTAAATTAATAGACATTCTAGTTTGGGACATCATTCCAAAAGTAGACAAAGCCAGGCATGGTAGGGCATGTGCCTGTAGTCCCAGCTACTAGGAAGGCTGAGGCAGGAGGATCGCTTGAGCCTGGGATTTCGACACTGCAGTGAGCTGTGATCACACCACTGCATTCCATCCTGGACCAACAGAGAAAGACCATGTCTCTGAAGATGAATGAATGAATGAAGAAAACAAAATAAAAAATTCCTAAAAGCAAAACAAAATCAAAGAGTAGATAGAAAGTCCTGAATTCCACCTTAGAGCCGATGCCGCGTACACAATCAAGCCAGGCTATGCTTGTGTTTCCCAGCATTAAAGCAGCTCATGCAGTTCTGAGGCTACTGAGTTACTTATGGGATATGATTCTCCCAGCCTCCAAGACAAATGACAGAGCTGCCTATCTACTGTTTCCCAGGATCCGGATGTTCAGGTGGCCTGGATTGCTGGGTAAAACAGACTGTTTTAATAATTAGTGGGCTTTCTTGGACTCTGACTTAGCGCCTGAATTTAAATTACTAATCTAATTAAAATACTACCAATAAGTAGCATTTACACACATTTGCTTTTTTTTTTTTTTTGAGACAGAGTGTCGCTCTTATTGCCCAGGCTGGAGTGCGCAATCTCAGCTCACTGCAACCTCCACTTCCTGGGTTCAAGTGATTGTCTTGCCTCAGCCTCCTGAGTAGCTGAGATTACAAGCATGCGCCACCACACCCAGCTAATTTTGTATTTTTAGTACAGATGGGGTTTCTCCCTGTTGGTCACGCTGGTCTTGAACTCCCAACCGCATGTGATCTGCCTGCCTTGGCCTCCCAAAGTGCTGGGATTACAGACATGAGCCACTGTGCCCGGCCCACACATTTGCTTTTAAGCCCATTCACTAACTCTGATGTGCACTAACATCATGATACGCTTAGTTAATTCTGATTTTGAAAATTAATATGAAGTTTTAAAGTATTTTTTATTAGTTTTTGAAACTAATATCAGACAATAACCAGAACGTGATATGATTCCATTCCATTATACACAAAAACCAAGTAACTACACCAAAAAAGACAAAACAAAACCAACAAACATAGCCCTTTCTTGTTTAACTGCATTCTGTTCAATGTTTTAAGCTCTAGAAGGGGAGTCTTTGAGTTAATCAGTTAGGACTCTCATTTTGCAAATGAGAGACCTGAGGCACAAGTAGGTCAATGACTTATTGAGGTACTTGGAGAGAGAGGCAGTGTCCTCTGCCCATCGCAGCTGGCCCGGTCTTACAGGAGGAAAAAACACCAAAAAGAAATGTAGAGGCCAGTTCTACTGCATTCATTTCACGCCCTGGGGCTTACACCCTTAAAAAGTATTCATTCCAGAACAGAGAAGTACATTTTGAAAAGGAGTAGAGTAGTTCCACATGTACCAGTGTGCACATTAAAAAGTAAAATAAAATGCAGCATTGTCAAAGTCCCATGCAAACTAGAACTGTCTTTAATCAAAACTACTTTGTGGTCATTCAATATCACACATCTTTTATGTTGCTTACTGTAAACCTTAGGTAAATCATGACATTTATGCTCTAATTTTATTTACCGAAAATATTTTTTCCTTGTGGGACTTAAAAGCGTACATTCTTAGCTTGGGCGCAGTGGCTCATGCCTGTAATCCCAGCACTTTGGGAGACAGAGCTGGGAGGATCACTTGAACCCAGGAGTTCAAGACCAGCCTGGGCTACATAGGGAAACCCCATATCTACACAAATAAAAAATAAATAAATTAGCTGGGTGTGGTGGCATGCACCTGTAGTCCCAGCTACTCAGGAGACTAAAATGGGAGAATCACTGGAGCCCAGGAATTCAAGTCTGCACTGAGTCACAAGCTTGCCACTGTATTCCAGCCTGGGTGACAGAGAGAAACCCTGTCTTTAAAAGAAAAAAAGAAAAGCGGCTGGGTGTGGTGGCTCATGCTGGTTAACCCAGCACTTTGGGAGGCTGAGATGATTGGATTGTTTGAGTTTGGGAGTTCAAGACAAGCCTGGGCAACATGGTGAAACCACGTCTCTACAAAAAAAAAAAAAAAATTAGCTGGGTGCCTGTAATTCCAGTTACTTGGGAGGCTGAGGCAGGAGGATATCTTAAGCCCAGGAGGTGGAGGTTGCAGTGACTCGAGGTTATGCCACTGTACTCCAGCCTGGGTGATAGAGCCAGATCTTGTCTCAAAAAAAAAGAAAGAAAGAAAGAAAGGAAAAAGCAAAAAAACATATGTTCTTAGAACACACAAAAATAATTTACCAGGCATTTTTTTCTCCTACAAGTATTATTTTTACTAATAACAAAAGTCCAGATCACATTCTTCTGAAATCAAAGTTTCCATGATAAAAGACTTGACATTCCAAGTTTTTGTCTTTTCAGTGTCAGCTAACACAGTTTGAATTTTTGGTTTTTTTTTCTACACTTGTATCATGGTTTAACATCATACTAAATGTTCACAGAAAATTAATGACGTATGCATCAAACATCTCAGTTTAATCAGGCTTCTATTAGAAAGCAATCTCTTGCATGATATATAGAAATGAGAGCAGAGGTACTAGTTAGAGAGCAGCCCATTGCACAAGGCCGAAAGTGATTTTGCTTGTCATATAGCAGAAGTTCTATTAGGTAATGTTATAATTCCAAATAATACCCAATATTCCTAATGCTTACAATTTTCAAACTCAAAGAGCTGTTTACCGTTCACAGGTCCACAGAGTGAGTATATTTATCGTAATTCAGGTGTTTTTTTTTTTTTTGCAACATTTTATCACTAATTTCAGTGAGCAGATCTTCAGAATCATGTAAATATCTGATCCACATGTAACTAAACATCCAAAGATAAGCCAAGTGGGTGGAAATAGTAACAACAACAAAAACTTGTTTATCCACACGGGGCATGGTGGTGCAAGCCTGTTGTCTCAGACATTCAGTAGGCTGAGGCAGGAGGAGCACTTGCACCCAGGAGTTTGAAGTTGCAATGAGCTACCATTGCACCACTGCACTCCAGTGTGGGTGACAAATTCAGACCCAGTCTCAAAAAAAAAAAAAAAAAAAAACCAAAAGAAAAAGAAAAACCTTGTTTGTCCCACTGCTTTCAGTGGAACACACAGTATCTGATGTGTTAATTTCAACAGTAGGTTCTGCTAAACCATTTTTTAAAAAAATTCATGAACCTGGCCGGGCGCAGTGACTCACGCTTGTAATCCCAGTACTTTGGGAGGCTGAGGTGGGCAGATCCCATGAGGTCAGTAGTTCGAGACCAACCTGGCCAACATGGTGAAACCTCATCTCAAAAAAAAAAAAATTCATGAACCAAAATACCTTGATAAGAACAAAGGTTCCCAGTGTTAGAAACAGGAGAATATCTTTAGGACTCGAGTTTTAGGTACATTTTTAGAAATTTTATTTTATTATTATTATTATTTTTGAGACGGAATCTTGCTCCATTGCCCAGGCTGGAGTGCAGTGACACAACATTGCTCACTGCAACCTCCACCTTCTGCATTCAAGTGATTCTCCGGCCTCAACCTCCCGAGTAGGTAGGACTACAGGTGTGTGCCACTATTCCTGGCTAATTTTTGTATTTTTTAGTAGAGATAAGGCTTCGATATGTTGGCTAGAGTGATCTCAAACTCCTGGCCACAAGTGATCTACCTGTCTCAGCCTCCCAAAGTGCTGGGATTACAGGCTTGAGCCACTGTGCCAGCCTAGGTATATTTTCCAACACAGGGTTATGAAATATCCCGCCTTCTCTAGAGAGGGATGAGACTCTGGGGAAGGTAGCAAGAGACTCCAGGTGTGGGAGGAGGGCCTTAAAAACGTTCTATGTCATCTCCAAAGGCACTCTGGGCAACCAGGTGCAAAAGAATTGGAAGTGGCCCCTATTCAGATTCACCCAGACTGGATGAAGCAGGAGTTCTTGGTATTAGTAATTGTCAGCTAAGCATGGTGGTTCACACCTATAAAGCTCAGGGTCTTGGGAGGCTGATGTGGGAGGATCCTTGAGCCCAGGAGTTTGAGACCAGCCTGGACAACAGAGTGAACGCTCCGTCTTTACAAGGACTAAAAAATAAAAATATTTAAAGAATTAGCTGGTTGTGATGGTGCACGCCTATAGTCCCAGACAGGAGAATGAGACAGGAGGATCTCTCAAGCCCAAGAGTTTCAGGCTTCAGTAAGCTATGATTGTGCCACTGTACTCTAGCCTGAGCAACAGACAGAGACCCAGTCTCTCTCTCTCTCTCTCCATATACACACACACACACACACACACACACACACATAATTGCAAAATCTTTCCTCAGCCTAAGACCTTGTGGGTCTTTCAGAAGCATAATCACAGACACAAACACAGATCCCACATTTGCCCTATCTGAGCTACTGGAATCTTTAGTCCTCCTGAGAAGTGGGGGGTTGGTGGTGGAGTGACTCTTAAGTCTGGGTGCCCTGAGGACACCCCTTCTGTATCCACTTCTGCCCTTTGGTCTTCCAAGCTGCCCTTGTGAAAGATGGCCAGTTCCTTTCCCCTGGTCCCCATTCTCACTTCTGGGGTAAAAAAGGAATTTAAAAAAAATCCTTGTCAGTTTTCAGCCAAAGTCTCTGAAATTTATTGCAAATTACCTTTAGAAAGTTAAATGTGGCCTGGCGCAGTGGCTCACTCCTCTAATCCCAGCACTTTGGGATGCCAAGGTGAGCTGACCACCTGAGGTCAGGAGTTTGAGACCAGCCTGGTCAATGTGGTGAAACCCCATCTCTACTAAAATTACAAAAATTAGCTAGATGTGGTGACAGATGCCTGTAATCCCAGCTACTCAGAAGGCTGAGGCAGGAGAATTGCTTGAACCCTAAAGGCAGAGGTTGCAGTGAGCTGAGATAGTACCATTGCACTCCATCCAGCCTGGGCAACAAGAGTGAAACTCCACCTCAAAAAAAGAAAAAAAAAAAAAAGGAAAGTTAAATGCATCTGTTTTCACATCCTGACTTCCCCAAGAATGGGACAGAGCTCCAGAGCTCTCTCTGGACCACAGGTGGGAGTTGGCAGCACTGCTCAGGCAGATGTCATCCTGGGATCAAGGACCAAACATTTTCTTACCTGTTGATCAAAAGAATTAGGGGCCACTTAACATTCTGTCATTTACACCTGTCGTTCCAGTATTTTATGCTACTCAAGAATATAGATTTTATTTTGAAGTGAAATTATAGAAAAAATAAAGAATATTGCTTTTAGACTGAGCATAGTGGCTCATGCCTATAATTCCAGTACTTTGGGAGGCCAAGGTGGGAGGACTGCTTGAGGCCAGGACCAGCCTGGGCAACACAGTCACATCCTGTCTCTACAAAAAATTAGTTGAGTGCAGTGGTGCACCCTGTTAGTCCCAGCTACTTGGGAGGCTGGGTGGGAGGATAGCTTGAGCCAAGGAATTCAAGGCTGTGGTTTGAATTCCTGGGACTGTGCCAATACCCTCCAGCCTGCGTGACACAGCAATATCCTGTCTCTAAAGAAAAATAAAAACAAACAAACAAACAAATAAATACATAAACTGCCTTAAAAAACATTAGCCAGGTGTGGTGGCACACACCTGTAGTTCCAGCTACTCAGGAGGCTGAGGTAGGAGGACAGCTCGAACCCCAGATTTGGAGGCTGTAGTGAGCCACAATCACACCATTGCACTCCAGCCTGGGTGACAGAGGGAAACCCTGTCTCAAAAAAGAAGAAAAAATATATCAACTTCAAAAATAGATGCAATGTATATTTAGTAATCTAAGTATCTATGTAAAAATGCTATGTTTGACTCATTGGCAGGTATGAATTCATGGCCCAATGGTCTTTATTAAAAAAACAGCTTTCATAGTACACTGTGGTGATGTCATTTTTCTTTCAGAGGATTATTACTTTTTAAAAGCTTCTTAAAAAGCGTCTTAAATTCCAAGTTAAAGCTGTTACATTCTAACCCAGTCTCAGAGCTGATTGGCTCAAAACCTCTGTGGGCCAGTAATGCTACATTACCCTGGAGGGGCAGGCAGCGTGGGGGTCAGGGAGCTGCAAAGCCAGCCCTCCTACTGGCCAGCACGCACATTCCAGGGGATAAATAGGATTAAGTGCTCTAAAGAGGATTCCTAGCCCTCCCGCAAAGGAGGATCAAACACTCTGGTCTAGTTCTGGAAAAAAAAAAAAAAGCCCCAGAGAAGGAGAAAGTGCCAGTTTAAACAGCAGGTGGCCCCATCCCGAGCCTCTGCTCTTCCTCTTACCCCCATCTCTGGATGGCTGGGGAAGAGCCCTTTTCTGCAGGCAAGTGTGCGCACTGGGTCCATGAGAGTGGGTTCAATCCGCCCTCTTTGGTTTCCTAAATAGGGCCAGCCCCTGGGTGGCAATGGGAGGTCATGACCTCAAATCTCTTCTAGCTGCTTTTGGGGACAAATGGATAAACTCTGCCAGGAAGCGCTAGCGCGCCTTAGAGAAAGCCCTTTGTATGAACTGCTCTCGGCACACTCTTCTAAATTTAGGCCCCGAAAGATGAAGGTAATAAAATCTGCTGACATCTAATTGCAATTTGTTTCTTGTCCAAGAAACAGACCAACCAACCACATAGAGCCAAACAGCACCCCTCTTCAAGCTTCACTCCACCCCACCCCACTTTTCAAACTGTCCCACGCGGAGAGGGGGCGACACCGGCAGGAGTGGGGGTTTACAGGACTCCCGGTAAAGACGCCCCAACAGCACACGTGTTAACTCATTAACTCGGAGGGATCTGGGGACACTGTGACGGTTTTCTATTAATAGGGAATAAAGCTCCTGCAGACATTAGCGGTAATGCCCTGACCGCCCGCGCAAAGTTAACTCCTCCAGGGCCAGCAAGAGGAAACCGTGTCCTGCCCAGGCAGAAGTGCGCTGGAAACGCGCGTGCCCCCATGCGCACACGGGGTTTTGGGACCGCTCCCCTTGCACAGGCCAGACCCCACACCCATCCCGAGTCTTGTCTCCGGGGAAGGAGATGGGGCGGGCAGGCGGCCGTCGGGTGTCCGTCAGCTCAGCTTCGCCACGCACACGGCTAGGGCCACAGCCGCCAGCAGCACGGCGGCGAAAAGGATGGCGGCCAGGGCCTTCCTGGGGTCGAAGCCCCCCTGGCGCTCCTCCACGGACACAACCGAGGAGGGGCCGGCCCCGACCGTGGACAGGAGCTCGGCGCCAGGCGCCTGCCGGGCTTGCACGGTCCAGCGGAGCACGTTGACTTTCATCTCCATGTTGTCGATCATCTCGCCCACCTGAAGGACCTCGCGCTCCAGCTCGCGCAGGTCCGCGACGTCGAAGTCGCCCTCCGCCTCGAGCCGCAGGCTGCGGGTGCTCAGAGCGCGCGCCGCCACGCCGGAGGAGGCGCCCGCTACGCCCGTGCACACCAGCGGCCGCCGCGGTGCGTGCAGCGGGAACGCGGCGCCCAGGTCCAGCGCGCGTCGCATGTCCGCTTCCAGCAGGTCCAGGCAGCCCGAGAAGGCCACCCAGAGTCGCTCGAACTCCGCGCGCTCTTCGGCGGCCAGGCTCCGGTCGCGCAGCACGGCAGTCAGCCGGGAGCAGGTGGCCACTGCCAGCTCCTGCGCTTTCTGGCGCGTCTTTTGCAGCTCCTGCCGCAGGTTCTGCGAGTCCGCCGAGCCGCCGACGGTGAGCACCAGGTGGTGGTAGCATGCGGTAGTCTTGTTGAGCCCGTCCAGCAGCGCCTTGCACTCCTCCCTCGCCATCGCGGTGCGCTCTGGCGGGGATCGGCCGCCCGCGCCCCTGTTGGCCTCCCCCTCAGCGCGGCAGGACGCGGCCAGCCCCCGTCCAGGCCTCGGGTCGCGCGGCCCGAACGCTCCTCATGGTCCGTGACTCGCTCGGCGCTGCTGCCAACGTCCACGGAACCCGCCCGGGAGCCTCGACGTGCGCCTCAGCGAACGGGGTTCGGAGAGGGAAACCGGTTAGCTGTCTCCCGCCCCTTGTTCGTCCTCCCCAGGCGCTCACACGCCGAGTCTCTGCGCCGCCCTGGCCTCCACGTTGGCTCCCCGCGAAGCTGAGGGTGCGGTCCCCATCCTCTACGGGTGCCGACCCCGGGGCGAGCAGGCGGCAGAGCCCTGCGCTCCGCCTTAGGTGCTGCCAAGGGCGGCCGGGTCGGGTTTCCTAGGACCCGCCCACCCCGCCCGCCCCGGCCGGAGCTGCCATCCCCTGGATCAGGGGTAGGCGGGGCTCCGCGCGGGGAAGTCACGTGTGGGTCGCCCATCCTTCCCTCCTCTTCACCCCATCCGAGTTCTGGAATGTTAGCGCTCTAAAGATCCAACCTGTCCTATTTCATGGATGGGGAAACTGGTAAAAAGAGGGCCAGGCTCCAGCGGAGTTTTTGCCAATGAGGGGACTAGAACCCAGGGATACTGACTCCCGGACCCTGTCAGCGACAGGACGTGGGATGCCCCTCAGGACTGGGCACCTCCGTGCCCCAAAGCGCGCAGTGACTGGCAATCCCAGGGGCTGGGCGCTAACCGGGTCGGGTGCCTCTGCAGCATAGAGCTCGGGTTAGCCCCGGCTTCCGAGCGCGGACCCCACCCCTAGTGTCATCCCGGCTCCCGGCTCCGCCCCTCCTCGTTCTGGGCACGCGCAGTTGCTAGCGCGGGGCGGGGCCAGCTGGAGTAGGAAGCGCAGGGAGCCGTCTGAGCCCCGCCTCCGGTTGGGCTGGACTCAATGATTGCTCTGCTCACACGTCACTCTGGGAAGGAACGGTTGCTCATTGGGCCAGCCATGGCGCGGCTCCGCCCCACGGCAGAGTAGGGGGGCTGTAGGGCAAGATCGCCGTGAAAGGGTGGTGGGCAAAGAGGTCCCAGCCGCGGACCTGGGAGGTGCCGCCGCCGCCCGGATGGGCCAGAAGTGAAGCGATGTAGCCTTTTAAGTAAGTGTCCTCTCGCTGGCCTCCTCCCGCGTCTCCCCTCCCGTGGGACGGTTGCGTCTCGGGGCCCGGCCGCCGGGCAGGGCCCCGAGTGTAAGGGGGGAGGGGCTCCCTGCTCTCCGCAGTCCGCTCCCGGGTCCGCCAGGTGGCCCGCGCAGTCCCAGCCCCCGCGCCCCCAGGTGGGTGTCCCATCCGCAGCCGGCACGCCCTGCCGACTCCGCCCCTAGGGTCTGGAGGAGAGGGAGTGGTCGGCGCGGAGAATGCGCGCTCTGAGCCCCGCTGCGTCGACCCTGGCGGGTGGGGCCGGGGTCCGGGGTTCGGGGGGCTCAGACTTGGCGGGGCGCGCGGTTGTCGCCGCGCGGTTTCCCGGAGGCCTAGGGGCTGGTGGAGGGCAGACGGCGGGTGGGGGTCCTAGCCGCGCGCCGGGCGGTTGTGGTTTCCGGAGGTGCTGAGGGCACAAAGCGGGGAATCCCTGCCTGCCGGCCTCTCTCGGGGCGGGGTCTCTGCGTCCCCCCATGTAAAGATGGCTAAAGTAAAACTCTTACAGAGAGATGTTCTGGACTCTGAGTCTGTTTTCTCTTTTGGTTGAAAATGGACTGCCCCGGAGCGCACGAGCCACGCGGTATCCCCTTGGCCGCCCCTCGAGGTGCAGGGGACATGGACACTTAAACGGCCGTGTTGGGCGAAGGAGCAAGGGACTGGTCTTCACTGAGGAGTTAGAGCATGCAGAGAACGAGGGCTGCTGGCAGTGCTGGAAGACTATGAGGCTGCAGAGAGCTGAGATTTTACAAGTTGCTGAGTTTCATGGAGAGAGGCCCCTATTTTGATTAAATAATGCACTCTTCGTACTGGCCGAAGAGCAGAGCAGTGGATTTTCTTTTTTTAAAACAAACTTCTTTTTTTCTCTCTCTCTTTTTGAGTCAGGGTCTAGCTCTGTTGGCCAGGCTGGAGTGCAGTGTTGTGACCATAGCTCACTGTATTTTCAAATTACTTGTGTTCCTGGACCCAAGTAATCTTCCCACCTCAGCCTTTGCAGTAGCTGGGACTACAGGCACAAGCTCCTATGCACGACTAATTTTTCATTTTTATTTTTTGTGGAGATGGTGTCTCGATAGGTTGCCCAGGCTGGTCTTGAACTCCTGGCCTCAAGCCATCCTCTTGTCTTGGCCTTCTAAAGTGTTGGAATTACAGGCATGAGCCACCACATTTTGCTGAGCAGTAGCCATTATTGTTTCAAGATCAGCCTGGCATGAGGCCTGGTGTTGAGGTGCCTTGGGGGTCGGAAGCACTGAGCCCCAGGGCCTGCTGTCACCCAGGGGTTCCTCCTTTAACTGGGTGAGCAGTAGGCTGAGTGTTTGCTGCCAGGGCTTGGGTACTCCTGGCCTTGACCATTGCATGGGAGTGCGGGGCGGGGGTGGGGTCTCAGCCACCAACATACTACATAGGGTCGTTCCCAGGGGAATAGTGGTTTTGAGGACAAAATGGGTGGAAAGCTGGGAAACCCATCTTTGGGGATAGCTTTGGGGACAGCAGAGGATGACAAAGCTGCAGAGGTGGCCAGAGGTCAGACAAGCCAAGTCCTGAGTGCCTAGCAGAGAAGTTGAGGGCTCATCTGGTGAGGAGTGGAGGTGAAACCTTTGAGGAATCCTGCAGAGCTCAGCATTGGAAAGATCACTTTGTTGTGTTGCTGGTGGACAGGTGTGAGTGAAATCCAGGGGGCAGATCCAAGAGGCACAGCCTGGAGGCCTTGGGGAAGTGGATTCAGGATGGTGCAGAAACAGAGACTTCTCCTGACCAGCCCTAGGGACAGGAAAGCACCTGAGGCTCTGACATTGGATAGACTTACATTCCCAACTTACACCCAGCCTTGCCGCTTCACCTGAAATAATCTTGGCCGGCAGCTTCCCTGGGAGGGCAGGTAGAGGTGTCTGCAGAGGGCAGGGGGTTAGGGTCTTTGTTGTGCCTCTTTGTGGCCGTTGGACTGTGTCTCCTTCATGAAGACCTGCTGCTAGGTCTTTGTTACTGATGTTTCTGTGTCCTGGTTAGGATTTTTGTGGCATCTGCCCTGCTGGGGTTCTTCCTGTCTATCATTTGCCAGCATTAGGCTGGTATCCAATGACTCCATCCTCTCACAGAAGAGCAGAGGAATGTGACCACGTCATGATAGATACCAAGCCTAGAAAGGATTCAGTCCAGAAGGATCCAGACTTTATTTGTCCTGAAGTTGATTCTTTATCTGAGGAACACTGAGAAGTGGCCCGAGAGCTCCTGCTCATCCGTCCAAGATGCTGGTGCAGGGATGGGTGCATGGTGGTTCTCCCTGTGGTCCGGGAACAGGGTGATGCAGTGGCGTTCGAAGGGGCTGTTGTGCTCCTCCATACTTTCCTGCTCCCTGCATAGTCTCACCCTGATTCCGGTTCTGGGCCTTTTCTCTGACCCTGCTCATTCTGGCTGTCACTGTGTTTGGCTGGTGCTGAGCACTTTGATGGTTTTGGACTTTTTGCCTTTGTGCCTGCTTGGCTATGACCTGGGGCTAGCCTCTCACCTACCCTGGATGTGGGCAGTGGACTTCCAGCTCCTGTGAGAGATGACGTCTCCTTAGGAGCTTGGGCTTCCTCTTAATGCCCCACTATCATTTCGTTCAAGTGGGTGAGCGATTACTCTATGTCTGCAGGGAGGCAGGCGCAGGGCTGGGTGCTTTAATGAGAAGCTTTGAGAAGAATATGGACAGGATCTATACATGTTATAGGCCAGAAGGACACAAGTGACTGTAACAGCATATATTACATCACCACATTGCATCCATTGATATGAAAAATAGATGAATAGAAAGTTTTCCTTCTGAATCATAAATTAGACCAAATGGAGAATACTGCTCATCTGTTGGGAAGTGTTCCTGGCCAGAGGGTTTGGTCAGAGCCCTGGAAGGGTAGGAACAGCCATCACAGTGAGATTTCAGCAGGGAGTGCATCTCTAAGGAGGCTGAATGTTCCATGCTGCATTCTGCTGAGCTGGGCTGCATGCTGTTACCAGATGGTTCCTGACCACCCTGACTTATCTGGGCTAGCAGGACGGTTGAAGACCACAAAACCACGAGTGTGTGCACTGCTGCCTGAAATACTAATTTGAGGCCTTGCCCGGCTCTCCTGTTCATAGAATGACTGCAGATAACTCACAATCAGGGGGTATTTGGTATCTCCAGCTAACTCAACTGGGTTTTCTTTACATTTTCCCCTCATTTGAACCCAGGCAGGGATGAAATTTCTTTAAAGAAGTTCTGTAAGATTCACTTATCTTTCCATGTTATTTTTTTCTTTCTTTCCATGTTATTTTAAAATAGCAAACTAATTGGCCGGGCGCAGTGACTCACGCCTGTAATCCCAGCACTTTGGGAGGCCGAGGCGGGTGAATCACGAGGTCAAGAGATCGAGACCAGCCTGGGCAACAAAGTGAGACCCCATCTCTACAGGAAAATCAAAAAATTAGCTGGGCACGGTGGCGCGTGCCTGTAATCCCAGCTACTCAGGAGGCTGAGGCAGGAGAATTGCCTGAACCCAGGAGGCGGAGGTTACGGTAAGCCAAGATCGTGCCATTGCACTCCAGCCTGGGTAACAAGAGCGAAACTCCATCTCAAAGGAAAAAAAAAAAAAAAAAAAAAAAAGCTAATTTTTTTTTTTTTCTTTGAGACAGGGTCTCGCTCTGTTGTCTAGGCTGAGTGCAGTGACCTGATCTCAGCTCACTGCAACCTCTGCCTCCCGGGTTCAAGAGATTCTTGTGCCTCAGCCTCGTGAGTAGCTGGGATTACAGGCACACCCAGCAAATTGTATTTTTAGTAGATTTCATCATGTTGGCCAGGCTGGTCTCAAACTCCTGACCTCAAGTGATCCACCTGCCTCAGCCTCCCAAAGTGCTGGGATTACAGGTGTGAGCCAATGTGCCCAGCCAGCAAACTACTTCTTGCAGGTAAACTTGACAGGATATAAAACTGTTTTTTAAGCATTTACCCTTACATAAGAACTCAACTCTGGCATTAAGCATCAGATCATACAATATTATTACCTTTATTTATTTTTTGAGACAGGGTCTTGCTTGCTCTGTTGCCTAGGCTAGAGTGCAGTGGTGCAATCATAACTCATTGCAGCCTCGACCTCCTGGACTCAAGTGATCCTCCTGCCTTAGCCTCCACTGTCTGGGTGTGCACCACCATACCCAGCTAATTTTTTGATTTTCCTGTAGAGATGGGTCTCACTTTGTTGCCCAGGCTGGTCTTGAACTCTGGGGCTCAATCATCTGTCTGCCTCAGCCTCCCAAAGTGCTAGGATTACAGGAGTGAGCCCCTGTACCACGCATATTACATTTTTTTTTTGAGATGGAGTCTCACTCTGTTGCACAGGGTGGAATGCAGTGGCATGATCTTGGCTCACTGCAACCTCCGCCTCCCAGGAGAATCAAGTTATTCTTCTGCCTTGGCCTCCCGAGTAGCTGGGATTACAGGCACCCATGCCTGGCTAATTTTTGTATTTTTAATAGAGATGAGTTTCATTATGTTGGCCAGGCTGGTCTTGAACTCCTGATCTTAAGTGATCTGCCCACCTCGGCCTCCCAGAGTGTTGGATTACAGGCGTGAGCTACTGGGCTCGGTGTTTTTTTTTTGGAAACGGAATCTTCCTGTTGCCTAGACTGGAGTGCAGTG